TTTGAATCACATTCTCATCCGAGCCGATCTAAGGGTAATCTGTTTCTGTCGTGTTTCTGGAGAGAAGGGGGGGGGGTAGAGGTTTGAAGAATGTACCCAAGACAAGAAGAAAATCGAGTGCAGATTACACATTATAAGAGACGACGGCCAAAAGAAAAAACGGCTTTTTCTTAAAAAAAAAAACGGCTTCCGAAATAGAGTGTAACCAAGAAAGGCGTAATGCCTTGCCGGTTGCAGCATCATAGCGGAAAATTATGTCGTAGAGCAGTCAGAATTGCCCTCTAATGGCAACGTCTATTATGCGGCATATAGCTACTGCGAAACCGATGAAGAAAAGAAAGCAGCCAGAGGCTTCGAGCCGTACGGAAGTGTGCGCCATACTCATCGTGTGATATTTTTGAAATCGCAAAGATTTTCCGTTGTGCGCTCACGTCAGATGATCTCTTCCCAGTAAGGTTTTGTCTCTATAAGACGTTTACGCGTTCAAGAATCGGCTCGGTAGAAACCCAATGGTTCAGGAAAGGCACTGTAGAAACCCTCATGGCCTCATTTTAATTGCGTGTGGAACAAATTGATGGTAAGGCCATTTCTTATCCTTGTCAGTGTGCATTAGATAATAGCACCCGTAATTAAAGGCAAAGGTCGGGCTCAGCCGCGCTAGAGGAGTAATTCCCGTGCCCGGAGGTTGTACGTGAGTAGCTGCACACATTGCAGCAACGTCCCACCTTGAAAAACGTCGTTAAGCCCCCGGGGCCGTCGGTTTCAATCCGGGACCGCCTCGTCAATCCGGGACCGCCCACCTCCGGAAGTGGTGCGTGGCTGGCATAACGTGTGAAATCAGCTAGGTTGATTGCCGTATCAACCGATAGAACGACTGACATCTCCAGAAAACTTGTTTGTACGTGCCTCTTTCCCCAAGCCAGCCTCCTTCACTGCTAGTGGGAAAGAGGGTTTTGTTAACGGCCTTGTCGACGGTTTTTCTCAGTTTTTTCTCCACTGTCGTTCCACTTCGCATCTCTATACTCAGTTTCAATCGCCATAATACCCCCTTATTGAGCCCGACTTTTGCCTTTAAGTGCGCGCAAAAAAACCAATTCCAAAGTAAGGAGAAGGGAAAAGCCTGGTTGGGGCTCGAGGGTTCAATTTCCCCAGAAATCAAGCAGATGAACCACCTTACTGTAGCCAAAACTGGCTAGGGTTTACAGTGAAGGAATTTGTAGGTGATGAGAAACAGGGAAATTCAAGTGTATTCTTCTAGTAGCCGTTAGCCACCAGCCCATTGCCCCGACAAATTTACCGCAAGACTTTTAGGCCTTCATAGTGAAGGAACAATGGTGGGACGAAAAAGGATCATTGGTCATACATGGCTCACCCCGTCATTTTTCCTTTTTCTCTTTTTGTAGGATGTGGGAGTAGCTCGCCGTCATTCCGGACACGTAAACCGCATAGTCCTTTTCTGGAGTAATTTTTAAATGTGGCACCAGAAGTGGCGGATTAAAGCAAATACTTTGAAGGAACCTCGGTTTCTGGGAGTTTTTGTGCTGGTAAGGTGCTCATTCCGCAATTTTAAACGAGAACGCATCCCAAAAAGGGGTGATCTGCTGTCTCCAACTTTTGCTTATAAATTCATCATTTCAAAAAGGTGATGTTCAAGTAACTACGGATCCAAGTTGATGATTTAAATAACTTTGACATGAAAACGTATGAGGAATAGAAAGAAGATGCAAATGCAATAAGAACGGGAAAAAATAGTTGTGAATATTTCGTAACGGTATCAACTCATAAGAAGTAGAAATTCGGAAAGAAATCGCGAAATTCCTGACATGTGAGCGGTCATAAGGCACCATGTATGGTGTTCGAAATGAAGTCCCGCTGGAAGACAAATGAGACCCTCACTTTATACATGATCGTAATGATTCCAGCTGGGCGAGATGGCTGAACAAAGTTCACGCGTCCTCTGCGGGAATAAAAATTGAATTACTCTTTTATGGCCCCATTCTACTGCCATACTGCAATAATTCGACGCCAGTTATAGATGGCTGATCTGGACGGGATCCAAACTCAAAGACGAGACACGCGGGATTTTTGAATTTAATTTGCCCGATGGTAAACGGAAGAACGAGTAGTATAGCAGAATGCAGGACCCAAAATTGGGTCAATATGTGGCGTTCGTGCGGAAAGCGCCAATGCCACAAAAGTTATAGGGCGAAAAGAAATACTAGAGTCCAGCCATACCGTATCCCGGACGAGTTACGACATTTTTTCTTCACAGGAGTGCTTTTCATGTCGAGCCGCCTCACCTTGAATCTCACAATTTCAGCTTTCGCTTTCGCGTATGGGCGATTTTTTCTGCGCAGTAGTATACTTGTTATTATAACGATTACATGTGAATTACTGATAATATCATAACAAAGGCAAGTTGTTGCCATGGCGGCTAACATAATGCCAACAGCCAGGTTAAACAGATCCAGCATTTGGAACGCACCCGGGGAGGGGTGGGTGGCTAGAGAGTGCCTTTTCCCGAGCTTTTGACCCATTTTGCTTTTTTTCGTAGATGCACCATTTTCACACCTCTGCATTCACATTTCAACAGTCTCAAATTACCACTGGTATTGCCTTTCAAGACACACCCCAGGATCAAACTAGTTCTTGCACGCAGAAGTGAATGTTCTGGTTCGCAGAGGACTCACTGCAAAGAGAGAAGGGAAGTTTGTCAAAAACCTAAGCTAAGGGCTTGCTCACTTTGGTGTTAAGGCATTGAGAGGCTGAACACGGATGAGAGAGCATGGCTGCACAACGATTGAGAGGGCGCCAGACGTCGGAGTGCACCGGGTGAGAAAATTGAAGCGGTCGAAGCTGTCCTGGCAAGCTCAAGCGCCGGTGTTGAGGCAAACAACGAAAAGAGACTTTCTGCCAGCTCTACCTACCCCACCCAATTTGCCTTCACGCCCGGATAGCATTCACACGAACCCTATCTGGATTGATCGCCCCAAGAAGGTGCAGTTGCGAAACACAGCAGCAGTGGCCACTGTGCTTCCTCTGCTTATTCGAGGGTGACAGACTTGATAAAAAAGAAACACCATGCTGTAAGAGCCGGCATGAAATTGTTATGGAATGCCAGGCCGAACCTCATGCAGAGAAGTGAGCTCAGGCGGAATAAACTCGTCCGGGGAGGGACTAGAGAATACTGTTAATCGCCCGCCTATTCTAGGAAAGTGGGAAAACTGTAGTTTAGGGGCTTATTAAATCGCTGACGCAAAGCGAGCGAGCACCAAAAAGAGCCAGTCTGCAGCTTACAAGGACAATATAAAACCTTAACTATCGTCATAAAAATGAATGACGAATTGTAGCAATGAAACCCGGATGCCATCTTAACCGATGAATTATTGCAGCTGAATGGATTGTTTGTGGATTATAATGATCGCCATTGGCACCAAGCCAAGAATGAGAGTGTCTGACGTCAACTCATAGCTACCTCGTCTTGCAAATGATGCGCAAGCGATTCGATTTTGATCGACTTTCCGAGCTTGAACGAAAATATTGTCCTTCAAGCTGCAAACGCTAGCCTAATCCCAACTATAAATTTTTTTTTTTTTGAACTCAAAATTTTGTCCCCACATTTCCAAAAATCCTTTGACACCTTCCAGTTACAAAGGGGCCAGTTTCATCAAATACAATTTCTCATTGGAAGTTTCTTCACGTACACTTGATTCTGGAATGGGGTGGAGGGGGAGGTGGAGCGCAAAGGGACAGAAACGCAAACGGTGAGCTATCGCAAGGTAGGGGGTATGTTGTCGCAATGCACATAAAACCGCGTACGGTATGTCTTTTTTGTTGAAAAGGTGATAAACGTAGCAGGGGTTGAGAGACTCCAAGGTGCGTATGCCATTTCACTTTCTTCCCTAGGAGCTCCTGCTCCCTTCTAGGCCTACTCCCATAGGGTGCTCCCATATCTTTGCGCCTAGCTTCAAATGGTCAGCGTTTGCGAGTCCTTGCATGCCGCCGTGATCGTTGGTATCGTAATGTTTAGCAAAGGTATGAGAAATTGTTACCCTTAAGAAGGGCTTGCCGCCAGTCCTTCTACAGCTAGGCTATAAGTTACGCGTAAAAAAAAACGAAAGGGGCCCCCCACCGCAATTGCATATTTATACTAGAGATGAATCGAGGTAACTCCTATTGTAGGTTTCAGATCATCGGAAAACCTCTCAAAATGAAGGCCCATGTGCGCAGAAAGACACAGATTCTTACCGCCCGTCTGGATGAGTTCGTCGTTCACCACTAAGACGCCAAGGTGAATGTTGGCCGGAATACTTCGCTTTTTTCTTCGAGTGCATTCAAGAGGTAACCCCTGCTTCTTTGTTTTTTAACTTCCAACTATCATAATTGTCTTTTTTAGCTGTATAGATATCCTATGATCACTTCATCTTGATAACGCAATTTGTGGCCACCCTGCACTTTTTTTTAACTTTGCTTGATCTAGCTGTAAAAAAACGGGAGCAGCGGAAGGTGGAAGTGAAAGGTGCGACCGTGCCCAGACATTTTGGGCTGAACAGCTTTGCTTTCACATCAGCTTCGTACAACTTCAGGTTATGTAAGGGTATACGGATTGAATGAGTGAAGTCTTGACTCATCTATGATTCCGAAATGAGTCACTGGCGCTTTTTGCTGATTATTTCCTTTCTATGGGAGACCGCTCAAAACAAAAGTGCCGTGCTGGGAATGAGTCACAATGAACTGACAAACAGCTAAAAATAGACAGCGAGCTCCTGAATTGCGATTTCGTAAATTTTAGAAGAAGCTGAGGATAGAGAAGCCAAACAGGGAACAACAACGAAGACTTTTTTCGATTTTGTGCCTACGTGAAACTTACGAACAATAAAGGAACTTGGTTTTAGTGACGTTGCACCGTCCCTGGTGGGGTTCCAACGCGAATTATGGTTATACCGTGAGATTATAGTTAGACACATAGATGTGTTCATATGATGCGGTAGAGGTCGAGATCATGGTCGGAGGTCGAGATCATATAATGTGTGCCATCTGACCTTGTAAATGTGATCCGCATTGAAGGGCAGATGATCACGCCGCAGGGTGCTTGCCTGATGCTGATTGGCTTCGCGTTGTGAAGCAGTGAGACCTGCAAATAGCTCATAACAACAATTTGGCCTGAAACGAATTGAATCAAGGTTTCATGGCTTTGAAGCTGTCCAGAAAGGTTTCCCTATCGAGTCCATCCGGACATTAACTGCACAAATTCATGAGGAATCATAAATAAATTTATTTTTTCTACGTACATTAACGTTTTCTTATTAGCATGAGGTCTAATGTTCATATATGGAGGGAGAGATTGCGTGCGCGCAGACGCGACGCGTGTTTTTGGACATTTTGCCGGCAGCTGCGTCCCATTTTTTCTTTGGAATGCTTTTACGTATGCAGTGTTTCCCCGTGTCCCAGCCCCAACTGATATAGGGAAAGTTGTTTTCACAACATCTGAGTCGTTATTCTCGCATTATGGTTCTCTCAGATATTTATTAGAATGATCCAGCGTAAGAAGCAAAAAATGCTTGGAAATAGGACGCCATCCCCTGAAGAGAGATTATTTCACCCCGCGCAAAAAAAAAGTCAAGAGTTCGTAAGAACGCTGCTATACATTTCTACTCTGTCCTATTTATTTAAATGGGGCCGTGACTGTCGAACAAATACGATATTAAATTCAATAGTTTTCCGAAGCTTCGCAGGCAACCAAACAACCGGCGTTGCGACACGCACGCAAATACATACGCGCTTCTCTAGGGAGCCTCCTTTCGTAAAGGCGTTTAGGGCAGAAGCAGGCTGGCCTTCGAAGCTAGTGTACAATTTTAATCCTTCTATATGCCGTGATATCTGTCCGGAGAGTATCTTTAACAAAAGCGGCATACAAACCCTAAGTGCTGGAAAGATTGACTGCCATTGCAATCCCTTTATAGTCGCTTGTACTTTTGTTAGGAAATCAAAAATTACCACACCGTACCCTGGTTTCGAAGTGTCGTCGCAAAGTCGTTCGGAGCATTTCGAGTGGTGTGAGTCTCACGCCTAACTGTATGCACATACTCTTGACTTCTTGGTGGTTCTGGCTGAAATTGCAATCAATATGTTGACTGAACAATAAGTAGGAGCTCGAACTCATCTTTCAATATCGACACAAAATAAATAAACAGCATTTTAGGACAACATATTGTAAATAATTAATTATTATATTTTTACAATTTATGGTCTATAGCTGCGGTAGGCAATTGCAGTACTTACCAATGAACTAAGTACTCCGCCAGAGAATCTTTGAAACTTTTTTAGTAACTGCAAAAACAGTTGGTTTCGATATTTTCCTTTCAGAATATAAGCTTCAATCGCTACCAAAATATATAATCAAGTTTTTGGGTTCACTCGTGTGCGTTGTACCAACGGTGTCTAGCGAAAAACGGCGACAAAATAATGAGTATTGGGCTCTCCTACATTTGAAGAAACATCTGAGTTACGGTTGGGAGCAGTTTGCGACGAGATTAGCGAGTACTGTAGGATACGGTAGTTGTCTGGATGTCCTCGCCGCCACGCCTGGCTTTTTGATTTATTCCAGTTTGCACTGCAGTGCTTTGGCACTGCTGTGATGATTAATCGGCCAAACATGTTTTAGGAAGGATTGTGATTGTCGCGGTGCGACCATCTTAGCAATGTTGTCTTTGGGTTAAGAATTGTACCTCCGCCCTCGCCCTCCGTTCCGTGGTTTTCTTGTAGTTATGTAATGGATAATCTGATTTGGAGGGACCTCTTTTAATTCTAATTTTGGTGGGTGACTATGAAAGGTGTAAAGATAATAGCGAATATAAAATATAGAAGTTTAAAGTTTAAAAGTTTATTACGGAATCAATTCATATTCGAATGCCGTATCATGGCTTGTCTGTATTCTTCATCTGTCATACTCCACCAATTCAAAATATAGAAAACAAGAATAAAATAAAGAAATAAAAATACTCCTAGCGTTTTTAGCTGGGGGTGGGACATTGTATGCAGTTAGCACAGCATTTACCAAAAGCCCGACTATTTATATAGTCCCGATGTTTCCGGATAAAGGTATTATTGTGATCCACGTTGCCGTCAAGCGTACTTCGGGAGAGCTTTTCAGCAGATTTTTGAACTCCTATTTTGGCCTAGTGTTTTTAAAAAAGTGAAAAAAAAAACTGTGAAAGATATATGCAAATTATTTACTAGAAAAACTGTAATAGTGTTGTTTTCGTAGTTTCGTAAATATGCCTTTTTCACGGCGATGTTTGCAATAAATTTGCTGGATGAAACAATAAACAGAGGAAGGACGAACCTCCACATAAGTGTTAGTGGCGAATTCTCGGATGCGAGCGTGTGGATCACGAATCGGCGATGAAGCTCTGAAATTTTTCTGCTCTCCTACATTTTATTAGAAAAGATTTTCTTTCGATGGGGAGTTGCCGTATAGTGAGGAAACGAGGATTGCCTTGTTCAGGATGAACGATCTAAGGAGTTAGCTATGAAGTATAGGTGCTGATTGATCCCCTAAGAATACGCAACGCTTAAGTTTCCATAGAATATAGTGATGACGTTTCAAAGGGTATCTGGTATGAAATGATTTCTTACTAGATCAGTCGACACCGAGAACTCTTCCTTCATGCTCACAGACAAGTCGGGAATCAGCGGGTTGGCGAAGCCATTCAACCAAGACTTGGCTGGTCGAATACCCGTAATGCTACTTGTTGCCCCTCAACAAGTGTCTCCCCTCCGCCTGCAAATTTTTCGTCATTACGAGTATTTTTGGCAGAGGGGAGGTGTGACAGTGGCAGAAGACAGAGTTACTCAACATGTTGTCCATAGATCAGGTTTCAAGCAAACTCTTGCTTGTGCTCGCTTTTTGTCTCCGGATAACCTTCTGAGACTCGTCAAGCATAACTGAGTGGTGCTTGAGCTGATTTCTGAGATTATTGTATAGGGGGAATACGTGTCGCACCACTTCTGTAGGAAAACGCTAGCCTATTCCATCTCAAGAAACTGATCTATGTTCGAGTATTTTACCTATTTCAAGGGCAGCAATTACTGCGGTACGATGGTGATAAAGGAAAGTCGAACGCTCGAACGCTCATGGTAGAATTTCCTCCCAGACTTCAACAGAAAGAAGCTTATGGGGTGGAGCGAAAAACTTTTCGGAACGGAAGTAGGTTAGGTCGCGCATTCCCAGTTTGCGGGGAGCTAAACTGCATTGCTCAACCTAAGCGCCCAACCTCACCACAACAAAAAACGCCCACGCTTCGATTCCTCGAAAGCCGGCTACTCTGACGCATGTGTTTCCCTTGGTGACAAACCCACTTTATCTACTTCCACTGCTTTGAAGCATGAAGTCATATTAGGACTGCGCAAAGAACGGAGATTATTTCGGAGTTGCCGAATTGAACTAGCCGTACAACATCCGAGAATTCACGAGACCTGCTTGAAGCGACTAAAGAAATGCTGCTAGATGAAAAATAAATCGCCAGAAAACGTCAGCTCTGTCGGGTGCATCGAACTGGGGGATGCTAGTAAGGAAGTAGATCCGCCTATGATAAACATAGATCATATCGTCTTTCTCAGAAGAAACTGCGCGAGAACTGAGAAAAACCACGCGATATCTTGCCCGTAACCACTTCAAGAGTTTTATGTGTAACAGTCTTTACGGATTCAATAACAGGCGTTTATCGGAAAAATCAGATTTTATGAGGGAATATGTAAGCTGCTTATGGTTGTGGTTAAGATATCCTAGCATGGACAACGGGTCTCATTCTTAGGAAATAAAGGCATGGACTGAATGGAATGGGAATGACTCACCGCACATAGGGCGTTTCCCACTGCACCGTTGATGGACGAGTTTTCTGTTGTTCTTCACGGCGGGACGTCTCTTTCGTGTAGGTCTGATAATTGTAGGTGCTGTTTTCTTGCTGCGGCGTGGAGTATTGTGCCGAATGCGATCTTGGACTGTACGGACGTGGTGCATAGGGCTTACTATCATAATGAGGCGGGGCATATGCTATAGGGTTCCTGTATATACGACGATACATGGGATGATTGAGTCTCATGCTGTATGGGTGGCGTGTAGGGTCGAGGGGAAGCGTTGAAGACATTTCTGTGTGGCGAATGCTGTACAGTACGTATAGGGGCAGTGTAAGTTTGGAAAGTCGGTGTGGGTCGATGCGATGTCGGCAGTGGCGGTTCAAGCTTGTTTTCGATAAATGACTTAGATGAGGGGTTATTAAAGGTCTGGTATAGATTTTTTGGTACGGCATCGAAGCTGGATGGTAGCATCGGCTCGACCGTGTTCTGAAAATATTGTAGCCATATCGATTGGTGCAGAAATTATGGGACAGGCAGATTCACTTACCTGGTTAGTTACGCTCGAATTGGAATTTCCACGTACGTTGCCGATCGAATCAGTGTGGTAGGAATGAGTGGGCGCAGCATAAACCTTAATATCCTCCTATTATTATTTTTTATTGATTGGTGATTATTGATTCACCGATCGGGTAATACTGGGCATCGATTCCTCTCAGGCATCCTCTCTTTAATCATTTTTCTCTTTTGTTTTCTCCATGGCTTACTTGAATTAAAAATTCGCGATCGATTATTGATTTTTTCTGCAAGTCAAGGTGGTAAGCTTGCAGAGTGCAGATTATTTGTTCCCCTTATGAGCAATAGTAAACTTGATATGCATTCCTCTAAAAAGTTAGAATGGGTTATCGATTGCAGAAAAGTCAATTGGTTCATTGGTGAGTGGCGCCGCTACCACTCTCCCAATCAGTGGTTCCAAGTCCATGGGACATAGCCAAATCCAGTAGGTTCGAATGATTGGAAATGGGCTAAATTCCTTCTGGAGTGCGCCATGTCCCCTACTCCTGCAGTATCGCAGTGGCATTTGACATAGCTGATTTGTTAAACGAACTGCAGAAGTTAGTCTATATGTCAGTATGTTAGCATATTTTCCTCCCAGGCTTTGGTATCAATTAGCCAACCCCGGGATGGTGTGTTTGGTTGGCCTGGGCGAAATTCGATATGGGATTTGATCCCCACCTTCCCCCCACTACTTACCGCATTGCACGCAGCGCCACTTGTTGCTACACACCACCTCTCGTTGGTCCACTTTTCTCAGTACTCAATATGACCACACCGTACTTTCTGCGCAGAGAGGTTGTACATGATCCAGCGGATTCTCACGAGAGTAATGATGAGGAAATTGGTGAATGGATAAAATCAATAATCAGACATATGAAGCAGATCAATTGCAACTTGTTGACGAACCTGTTCTCTGGGCGGATCGCGTTCCAGCTTATTGAGCTGCGAGCCGTACGGCCGATTTCCGTCAGACACGGTCGACAACGGCAGCCGATGATCAGCTCGAGACGCTGCGACCATGTGCCCCACCTCTGGTCGCGTTCATCGCCGATCCGTCCACTCGTCATCGATAGATCGCGGACGTCACCTTTAGAAGGCATGTATTTATTCAATAATCAACTGCATCTGATGCGTCGACACATAGTCAATCAATACATTGAAACAATTGCCATGAAGTACTGAAAATTTGATGCTGATTATTCCGCGAGCCAATAACTTCGTATAGCTTCGAATATTATACATTAAAGATAAAAGGATAAAGCATTTGCCGTTGATCAATCCCTTTTTGGGATGCGGCACGCATTCTACTTCCATTTGTACATTCGCAGTGGCATTTGAATGCGATGTGGCCTATACAATGACTTGCGGGGCCAGCCGATGTTCAAGTCAGTGTTTTTTATCCTCCCAGACAAGTCTGGTACCAATTAACCGACCCCGGAGGGATGGAAGGCTTGGTTGGCCCGGGCGACTCACGACCCAGGATTTGATCCCCGGACCGCTCGCGTGGTGAGCGCGCCACTTGTCACTGCACCACTTCCGCCCTTCCATTTTATGAAAT